TAGGATGAAGAGATTGTGATTTCCTCTTATTTTTTTCTAAGTAGGTTAAAATTTGCATTTTTGATGTTTATTTCTTTGTTATAGTTAATAGTGAAATGAAATAGTAATTCCCTTCTTCCTCTGGGCTTAAGCAAGGTTGTCCTCTTTCTCTCTATCTTTTTGTTATTATTATGGATGTCTTGGCTGTTTGTTTGGACTCTTATAGTAAAATTATCAATGGCTTTGATCTAAAGAATGATCTTTTTAATGTTTTCTATTTAATCTATGCAAATAATTTTCTGATTTTTGGAATTGCTAATGCTAATTCTATTAAATGTTTTACTCATATTTTGAATTATTTTAGTCATACTTCTAATTTATATGTTAATTACTCTAGATTTGCTTTTTTGCTTTTCTAATTTTGTGGATTTACACACTCATAATATGATTTATAATTCTTATGGTTTTATTGCTAGGTCTTTACCTTGAAATTATTTAGGCATTACTATTAAAGCTACTAAGCTTAATGCTAATGATTATAATAAGCTTCTTGATATAATTTACATTTGGCTTGTTGGATGGAAGCATAAATTTTTATCTGCTGTTAGTAGACTGCAACTTATCAGATATTAACTATTCTTAAATGTATTAAAGGTATTAGGAAAAAAATTTCCTCTCTTATTAATAACTTTCTCCGTTAAAGTGATAAAGAAAGGCATATGAATATTATTCCTAGAAAACTATTATTTTACCTAAGCATAAATGGGTGACTTTGGCTTCCTTCTTTAGACACTGTTAATATTATGTGTACAGCTAATGTTATTTGGAGAATTTATACTTCTGATTCTTACAATTATAGATGTCGTTTGAAGCATTGTGACTCTATTTGGTTCAAGTCTCATTCTTCTATTTCAATATTATGGAAAGATCTTGCTAAAATTGCTTTTAGGATTAGAAATGATTTTTTAAGGTTGCTATTAATAGCAACTTACTTTTCTTCTGTGGTCCTTGATTTTTTTAATTTTTCTTACATGAGAAGTTTAGTAATGTTATTTTTACTTTGTTTAATTACCCTAAATTTACTGAAATTTCTGGTATCATTGGTATTGAGAATTTTGATTTTTCTTGTAATTCTAACATCCCTTTAAATTGTCTTGATAGTAATCTTCTTTCTTATGTCTGACGGTTTCACTTGCTTTTGGAATGGTATTAATTCCTATACTGATAAGTATGTTTATTTTCACTTACATGAAAATTTATCAAACAAAGATTGGAGCAAGTGTGAAGTTTAAAGATACTGCTATCAAGTTTGCTTTTCATTTTTGAAAAAGTTTACATAGCGGTCTTAAAAATGCTGATATTTTGTTCCACAGAAGGTCGTGAATCTGTTTTTTTGTTTCTGTCACAATGATTTGATATCTCATAACCACTTAGTCTTTGAATGTCCTTTCTCTCTTCTTTGGCTTAAACATCGTATCCGTGATCGTATTCTCTTTTTGGCTGGAAATTTTATCTAGTTATTAGTCATTTTACTAGTTTTACCGATAAGACCACTAAAATGTATTATCTTTTAGCTGCTAATATTACTTATTAATATATAATGTTTGAAATGAATAACAGAATTTTTAAGAAGCCTATCTCCTCTCTAGAGGTTCTTATCAAAATATTCATTGGTTGGTCAAACAAAACTGGTAGAAAATGAAAATTTAAGAGGGACATTCCTCTTACCGTTAAAGTTCTTTACAAGTTATAATTATCTCTTTCGTTTAGTTTTTACAATTGGCTTTGTTATATTGTATTTATTGTTCCTACCGCTCTTTGGTTTCTGTTGCTTTGATGTTTTACTTGTAATTCAACTAACTCAACCGTTTATTTTTTACAATTAGTTTTCCTTCCTTATTTGTATTTAATATTATTGGATGAGTTTTTATGAATTGAGTTTATACATCCTTAGCTCTTTGAACATATACATCCTTAGCTCTTTGAACATATACTATTCTTTGTTTTTATTTTCCGAGATTTGCTAATTCGAGCTATGATGATTTCCACTGTACATTAAAGCTCATATACAGTCTCGTGGATGGTGTCTTAATGATCTTGTTGGTAGGAGGGGAGGGGAGGA